AATTTCCTGACAGTGAGAACAATTAACCAGTGGAACAACCTGCCTCCAGAAGCGGTGAATGCTCCAACACTGGAAGTTTTTAAGAAGAGACTGGACAGCCATTTGTCCAAAATGGTATAGGGTTTCCTGCCTGAGCAGGGGGTTGGACTAGATGACCTTCAAGGTCCCTTCCAACTTTACTATTATTATTATTATTATTACCTGGAGGTGACTTTGTGCCAGTCACTCTCTCTCAGACCAACCCACCTAACAGGGCTGTTGTTGTGGAGCAGGGGTCTTCAAACTTGTTAACTGTAAGACTTGTGGACTGAATGAGGAATTCTGGGAGTTGAAGTCCACAAGTCTTAAAGTTGCCAAGTTTGAAGACCCCGTTGTGGAGAAAATAGGAGGGGGAAAGAGTATTTAGGTGCATTCACTGTCTTGAGTGACTTTTAAAGTAATAAACCTAAGTTATAAATCGAAAAGAAAAAAAGTTGCAAGCCTCCCTCCCTCTTAGACCGTCTGGTTCAACTCTCTATGCAGTAAAGAAATCCATATTTAAGCACATCCATCAGATTGATTTCAGCTTCTGTTTGAACACACCCAGCAAAGGAGAAGTCACCAACACTTTAAACAGTTGGTCCTACTGTAAATCTGCTCTTATTATTAAGAATTTTTCCCAGCTAATTATACTTTGCATTAATTTTTAAAGAAGAACCCTTCTGCTTTTTTTTAAAAAAAACCTGTTTTTTCATGTTTGTAACTCATTCTCGCTTTTGAAATTTGAGCTGACTTAATATGTGCGGTCCTGCTGAACAGCTTACAATTGTAGACTAGAACCACACAGCTACTTGGCCATCAGCCAGATCCTTCATATTCAATGTTAAAGAAGAGAAGTTGAAAAAGATCATAAGGAGACATTTTGTCGGCTGCATTCACTCAAACTGGATCTTGTCCAAGATACGTACCACTCCTTTCACCCAATGACATCAGTAGAGGGGTTGGGCTGAAATTTTTCCACCTTCTTTTGTAGAGCTTTTACAGGCGGGAAGAGTTTTGAATGCAAAATTGGGATGTTAAATGTAGCAGAGGTTTAAGGAACCTCGTTGCTTTTTTTTATCTTTAAATCAAAAAATGGAAATAGGAATGTAAATGCTCAGTCCTGCCTTCAAACCATATTGTAGCTGTAGACAATATATGATGTGGCAATCACAGAACAAATTTTCATTTTTTCACAATAAGGAACAAATCTAAATATAAATCAGAAAGTGAAAAGATAGTGTGATGCATCAATACAAGAATGAATCTAGCATTCACTTGGTCTTTGTCCTCTTACAACAGACATGTTAAACACAAGGCCCGGGGGCCGGATGCGGCCCGCGAAGGGGTTTCATGTGGCCCGCAAAGCCATCTTGGAAACAATGAGGGAACGGCCCCCGCTGCCTTGGCCCTGGCCCAGGCCAGGCGGGAGCCAATGTACAATTTTGTGGTAGCCATCTTGGCACTTGCCCCAGTGGACCATGCCTTGGCACTTTCCCCGGTCCCACCCCCTTCTGCCAGAGACCCTCAGATCTGTCCCACTCCTGCCCAGGCCCCCATAGGCACTCTTGACGCGAATGATGTAGAACTGGCCAAGCCCACCCAGTAGGCCACACCCACTCCATCCACACCCACACAGTAGGCTGCACCCACTCTGGCCACACCCACCTGGCCCCCCCAGGGCAACCGCAATGCTGATGCGGCCCTCAATGAAATTGAGTTTGACACCCCTGTCTTACAAGAAGGAACTAGAAGCTTCTAATGTGATTTTGATGACTCTCAATTTAGCTTTAAACCTGAATCCAAAACAATGGCTAAACCTATTGTTAATTGTTAAAAACCTACTTTCATGCTTTATGAGGCATTTATTTCATTCAACCAGACAAAGATAGGTTTGCTTGCCTACCAGGCTTCCACACTGCTTGGCTATCTGCCCCTGTTTACTGTATAGATAATTTGTGTCATATTTGATCTCAGCTACTACCTCCCACCTTGGCAAATATGCCTGGCTCTGTGAATCTATAGGATCTTCAGAACAAAACTCTGGCTCTGATACATGCTCTCAAGAGCCCCATCACAGTCTTACTGCAATGGTAGCCACCCCGGAAGCAGCTGTTCCATAGAACACTTTGCTTTGCAGCAAAATAATAATAATAATAATAATAATAATAATAATAATAATAATAATAATAATAATAATAATAATAATAATAATAATAATAATAATAATAATAATAAAATAAATAAATAAAAATCAGGTTGCCAGAACACGTTTGATGTGCTTTTCCAAAGAGACACTGAAATGGCAGGTCACTCTGACCTGTGGCTCATGAGAAAGGTAAATTGCTCTCTGTTCAGTGCTTGGTTCTACCTAATTATAGGATTAGCCCTAATGATAGGTTGCCTGGAACTGGATACCCCACTAAGCCAGGAGCCTTCAAACTTGGCAACTTTAAGACTTGTAGACTTCAACTCCCAGAATTCTGGAAGTTGTAGTTCACAAGTCTTATTGCTGCCAAGTTTGAAGGCCCCTGCACTAAGCCATGACATCTCAAGTAGAGGCAAAGGATTCCAAAATTCTCCCAGCTGTCATGGAGAAGGAGAGTGGGCCCATTTTCATGAAGTGCTATTTATTACAAAATTCCACAACACTCAGCAAAGCTCTACCCAGAGGTTTTCTCCACATGCACAGAGATTGTGTGAAATGGCTGTCAGAAACAGGCTTGGGTCAGAAAAAGAACCTCCCCAGGTAAGTCATTCAGGCCTTAATTGAAGCTGGAGCGGTAGATAAACTCACAAATGACAAAAAACATATGCTTGCATTGTAAAGTAAGTGAGAAACTTGGATTTTTCAATGCCATAGAATGAAATTGCCTGAACTAGTATTTTGTGTTTATTTATTATCATTTCTACCCCATCAAACATTCAAGGCACTTTTTTATTTATAAGAAATATTGAAAACCTACTGTAATTAATATGATGTTTGTGCCTCCTGAAAGAAAGTAATTTTAAAAAAATAGTTTGTAGCCAAATTTAATGGTGAGCTCTCTCTGTTTAATTTGCAGCATTCCAATTTCCAAGCAGTTGTCTTCTATAAAGGGTAAGGTGGTTATGCTACTTTTCTCCTCTGTCCATCTCTGTTAGATGACACTATTAAACCTAGGAATTACATTGGTCACCTGCTATGCAAAGCATACAGAGTTGCTCTTCCAGAATGCAATGTTCCATCAATTCTTGTGGGGATTTTATTTCTTCCTGCAAACTTTTTCCCGGAAAGTGCTGAGCAATGCAGTCAGTCAGTACTGAGAACAGCTTCTTCTGAAATCCATGGCAGGTGGGCAATTACCTTCTACAACAACTTCATTGCCAAACAGTATGTCACTGTTAGTAGTGTACGTGTGTGTATAAAAGAAGTGTATGTGTGTGTATGAAAGAAGTGTATGCCACTTCTCTTAAATAAAATAACCCTGGATAGTTAACATTCAGATATACAAATAATAAAATATACAAGGGCTAAAAACTCTTACATACTACCAAATGTCATAAAACTATTATCTCCAAAACACAAATGTTAGGCTCATTTCCCATCCTGGCCAATATCAGAGAGAAAAGCCAAGCTTCTGAAACAGGTTTCTGGAAAATTATGAGATTTGGGGGACACCCCCCCCAACCATATTTTGAGGGTAGGATAGGCATAGCTACCAAAAAGCTTCACTTCCTAGGTCAGGGATCTTCAAACTTGGCCCTTTTATAACTTGTGGACTTCAACTCTCAGAATTCCTCAGCCAGAAATTGAAGTCCACAAGTCATAAAAGGATCAAGTTTGAAGACCCCTGTCCTAGGTCCTGACAGATCACAATATTTAATAGAGGGTAACTGGAAAAAGCCCACCCTATCCAATCTGATGGGATGAATGGATGTGCCATTCAGGATTTTTTAACTGATAACCTACACCTTAAAGTTCACCTGGAAAGAACTGGGACCTGGTGCAGTTCATGCAACAATGGTATAAGCTACATGTTCAGGTTTTGGGTGGTCTTCAAGGACAGCTTCATCTAGAGCAGGGGTGTCAAACTGCCGGCCTGCGGGCCAGATGCATCACGAGGAAACAGCACCCACCCCATTGCCGGCAATAAGGAAAAAGCTCCGATATATCGTGCGACGTCATATGACGTCGCAAGTTTGACATGTCTGATCTAGAACGTGTTATTTTCAATGCCCTTTGGAGTTGTGCTCATGTACTGGCCCATATGATCCTGCAGCTTGGCAGCTGTGATGCCTCACAGGACTTCCAATGTTATGGGCAGCAGGTTATTGGCCAGTAGCTGGACAGTGCTGTTCCCTTGTGGGAGTCTTTCATGATCAACACTGTCTTTCCTTATGTTAGCCAGTTTGGGTGGGAGCCTGCTTCTAGCAGCTGGTTCCAATAGGTTGCAAGGCATTCATGCACTGCTGCTGGTTTCTTTATTAGATCTGGATCATGTCTGGATAAGGTGTTGTCCAGCTCTTCATGTACTGTTGTTGGATGTCTGCTACTGTGATGGTGATGGGTTCTTGTTTTGGATATTGCTGTGGACTGCCCTCAGGTGTTGCAGCATTATATGTCTTCTCTTTCTCCCATATGTTCTTCCAGTACTGTTCAGTTTCTGCTCTTGGTGGCGCTGCTGTTACTGTATTGTTGCACTGCAGTTGGGAGTATACCTTGGATGGTTCCTTGGAGAATAGGGCATTTATCCTCTTGGCCTCTGTTTCACTTGTGTATCTCCTTAGTTTGATACCCAGTGCTATGAGCCTTTGTTTAGCAGTCTCTAGGGTTTCAGATGAAGTCAGACACTTGCATTTTTTCAGTAGCTGAGTCTTATCTGTAATCTTCATACCCTTCTGTAATTCCACTCACTAATTTCTCTCCAAATTGCCTTGGTCTTAGCATTGAATCTCATTTTCCAAGTTGGAGAATACCCTACCTTTTCATGGAATAGAAGGAGGGATATGTGTAAGATTTACCACTATAATCTGCAAATATTAGTGAGTGTTATTCATCAATAACTAGGCAATTCAAAAGGGTGAAGTCTAAAATCTAGTTTCAATATCTTCTCCCAGGGTTTAGAAATGTTCATTAAACTAAGCCATTATTGTATCATGAAATTACAAGATATCAGGAAAGTCAGTGTTGATGGTCCCTCAGACCTGGAATCTGCTCTCTCTTAGCTTCTTCCTCCCTGTCACCATGTATTCACTCCTGTAGAGTTCTATTGATTTGTCATCTTCCATATATTTTTGCTTCTCCCCCTCCCCTCTCAGCTCTAGGAAAAAGTTCTGAGCTAGAAAAAGCTGTGGCTACAGCAACCTTGGTTTATGATAATGCGGCAGATGCTGAGGGCAAACTCAGCAAATCTGAAGCTAAGAAGCTGCTCCTAATTCAGTTTACACATTTTATACAGGTAAGAATAGACCTCTTATTCCATTAAAACATTTAATAATGATATCTGGGAAATATCATAGAACCTTCAAACAAACAGAGATCCTGTATAAAACATCCTTTTAAGCAACACAGAAGAAGAGAGATTTCACACATACTGCATGTCCAATGAGGATGTGGGAATATTCAGGACAGAGAAAGTGAAGTGAGTGCAGCTAATCACAAGACAGAAACTCCCCTTTCTTCTCATTCCTCAAAGGGGACCTTCTAGAAATTTATGTTGGAGAGCAACTGTCTCAGTCAGGAGGAGGACTCAAGTGCCAAATTACTGTGGACTTATTATGTAAACACAAGAGAGTAAGCTCTCTCTCTCTCTCTCTCTCTCTCACACACACGCACACACACACACAAACACACACACACACACACACACACACACCAAATGCCTTCGAGCAGTGATGGCGAACCTTTTAGAGACTGAGTGCCCAAAAACTGGCCCCACCCCTGCCCCAACCCCACCCTTGCCCCGCCCCCACTCCGCCCCACTCTGCCTGCCCACAGGGCCACTCACTGCCTCCAGGGCCCACTGCAGATTGCCCAGGCAGCCCAGCAGCGCCATGGCAGCCATGCCCTCTGCCCGCGCCCCGCAGCATCAACTGTGTGCGTTGGGGCGTGAGGGCAGAGTCTTGTCTACAATGCCTGGCTGCCATGTCCTTGGCTGAGCTGCTCTGCATGGGCCACACTCGGGGGCGACTCTCCTCCAGGGGGTTGCTGGTGAGGGGGTCGCGGGCGGAGGCAAGGCTGGGGCAACGGCATGTGTGCCCACAGAGAGGGCTCCGAGTGCCGCCTCTGGCACCCGTGCCATAGGTTTGCCACCACTGCCTTTGAGCCTTATCTAGTCTTTCCCAGGGGAAAGCTGCAGTCTGGGGAGATTCCTGTGGAGTAGGCATAAAACAATAAAGTAGCAAATTTGAACTCTACATATGTGAGTCAGGTTCTTCACGCCTGACAGTATCTATTCATTTTCATTCACAGGGTCAAGAAACCAAACCAAAGTACCAGGAAATGATGTCTGCTCTTGATGAGAACAAGAATGACAAAATCGATTTTGAAGATTTTATGGTTCACGTAGTTAGCCTTACCTTGATGTCTGATCTGCGGCAAGATATTCAAAATGTGCAGAAAACTAAATGATTAAGAACATCAAATAAATAAACTGGGTTGGGAAAGGGGGAGATTGGATTTTTAAAGTAAGTGCTTTAGGGCAGAGGTCCCCAACCTTTTGGGCACCAGGGACCGGTTACGTGGAGAGAGGTTTTTCCGCGAACCGGAGGGGCGTGGTTTTGTGTGCTGTCTGCATCTTGTAGATGGGGCTTTCCTTGTTTGTGTGGACTGTTTGCTGGCATGCGGCAGCCCGGTACTGGGGGTTGGGGACTCCTGCTTTAGAGAACATTACTATTCCAGATAGAATTATTTGGGACATTATTAATATCTATCAATAAATCAGTATAGACTAAGGAGTTCTTTGGGCAGCAAATGTACAAAAATAGGTTAGTCATCCAATTCTGTGATTTTAAACAAGAAAGAAAGCACTTTGAAAAGAAATGACACTAAATTCTGTGGAATATTGTTCTAGATGAAGTATGATTATTAAATAAAATGTTAATGAAAAAATCTATCTGTAAAATTCAGATTGTGGTCTAGATACAGCCATATTGCAATAGTGTACAACAGACATGTCAAACTCGCGACATCACGTGACATTGGTGACATATCAGGACTGTTTTGCCATTGCCGGCAATGGGGTGGGCATGGCTTCCACATGACATACCCAGCCCGTGGGCCGGCAGTTTGACATCCCTGGTGTACAATATGGAATCCTGCCCTGATTCCAGATATCTTATAAAAATAAATGTTTTTATCCATACCCAGTGACTGGTAGAAACATATCTCTCCATTTATATAAGGAATGGCTATGGAGAAGATACTTGATGATGTATATCAGGGGTAGTCAACCTTGGCTCTTTTATGACTCGTGGACTTCAACTCCCAGAATTCCTGAGCCAGCTGAGCCAAGGTTGACTACCCCTGATATATATGATTATTTTGCCTTAAATATCGATAAACTTGTTTCAGAGGCGTAGCGTGGGGGGTGCAGGGGGGGCCGGCCGCACCGGGCGCAACATCTGGGGGGGCGCGCTCGCACTTGCAGCTCTCTGCCCCTGCCTATGCGAATCCGATCCGAGCCGCCGGGTCGCCGCCCACTGTGGAGGGGGGGCGCAAATTACTTGCCTTGCCCCGGGTGCTGACAACCCACGCTACGCCACTGACTTGTTTACACAGAGATACAGTAGCTGATCCTCTTCCTCTGTTATACAGACAAGAATTCAAGCCAGGAATTTCAACTTGGAAAGACCTAAATTCATACTAGCAAAGTATAATGGTTCAATACCCTTGATAACTATTCTGAATGAACGTCACATTGGCTTTTTAAGGAATTTTACCTTCAGTAATTTTACCTAACTTGAGGGAACTTTCAGGATTGGGAGGCTGATATTCAATACTGGTTTATGTGGCTAAATTTAAAGGAAGCTTAAACCAGTTATTCCTAGTGGCTTTGATTTATTGTTCCAAGCTCCATTAAGCTACTGTAATTAAACCACCAATAAAATAATAAAACTATTTCTTTAAAAAACTGGAAAATTCTATTGTAATGAATTTGATTCTTCTTCATTGATTCCTTATTGAACAAGAGAGCACACACAAAAGATACATGTTTCAACCCTGCATGAAATTTAATCAAAGGTCAAATATTCAACTCCCCCAAAAGTTTCTGATCACTCTGCTTTTAGCCATTACACTCCAAAGTACATTTACTCTGAATTAAACTCTAGCAAACACCATGAGGCCAATGAATAAAACTATGAAGAGTTACACTCTGCAGCCGTTCTCCTATGCATACTCTCTAAGAACGGAAAAGTGTAGTCCTCAACTTACAACCACAATTGAGCCCAAAATCTGTTGTTAAGTAAGAAATTTGTTAAGTGAGTTTTGCCCCATTTTACGACATTCCTTGCCAGGTTTGTTAAGTGAATCACTGCAGTTGTTAAATTAGTAACATGGCCGTTAAGGGAATCTGCCTTCCCCATTGACTTGGCTTGTCAGACAGTCACAAAAGGGGATCACATGACCCCGGGACACTGCAACCGTCATAAATCTGAGGCAGTTGTCAAGCATCCGAATATACATCACGTGACCATGGGGATGCTCCAACGGTCATAAGTGTGAAAAATGGCCATGTCACTTTTTTCAGTGCCATTGTAACTTCGAACGGTCACTAAGTAAACTGTTGTAAGATGAGGACTTCCTGCACACATAGGAGCCAGCTCTAGTCTTTTGGAATGATGGATAGAATTAAGTTTTTGAAATGAATTTAGGTTTGTGACTGAAATCCCATATCAGCTGGATCTCCAGCGTTCTTTTCCCAGGCTTGCTTGCTATCGGCTGCCATGGAAACAAGGAGGGTAGGGTTAGGTCATGGCTGGCTCAGGAATTCTGGGAGTTGAAGTCCACGAGTCATAAAAGAGCCAAGGTTGTCTACCCCTGGGTTAGGTATATGGAGTGGGAAGAGGGCTGCTGTGGAGTGGGTCTCCTGGGAACTGGAAGAGAGTTTTTTTTACTCATTAGCTATGGCACTGCTGAGTTAGTTTATACTTCTCCAAGGCCAACCGTCCTTGGACTCCAGAGGCAAGAAACACCTGCAGAGGTGCGGTTTCCCATAACATACTGGATGTTGATTGGACTCTCTGTGCTGGACCCTGGGCGGAGGGATTTGGGATGATTTGCTATGTGTAACTTGTGCACGGTTTTGCCTCAGATCTTGCGTGCTTTCACTGCTATCAGTATCTAAAAGTACCTCTTTGAAATAATAGAAAATACTTGTAGCTCGGGTTTTAGATTTTGGCGGTGGTTTGTTCTCCAAACTTGTTTCAATATAATTTCTGAATGTTTCGTTATCAAACTAGGTAACATCAGCAGCAGGATTCTCTTGTCCTATTCTCCTTAGCTTATAAATGTCTTGTATGCCTGTGTGTGGTCAGTTGGTTTTGTGATTGGTTGAAAAGTACCTCTTCTCTAAATCAAAGGAGTTGGGGTTTTTCTTTTTTAGGATTTGAATGGAGGCAGTCCTGACATCCCACTTGATGTTCTTCTGCATCATTGACATGATTAGATTTTTTTTTCTGTTCTTATTGCTTCCTTTTGGCTGTCAATGAAAAAGCTAATCTTAAACATCTGGGATTGCTACAAGTATCTAGCCAAGATGA